GCCATGGATGAGTAACTTCAATTATAATCACAATTTGAATTTCTCAAATCTTCTATTGAACTTGATTTTTCCGTGATGGGTAACGGAGTGACAAAACTGAGTATGTGTTTCACCGGCGGAGATCGTTGCCGGGAAAAAGAAATCTCCGTTCTGCTTCCGGATCCTTTAGACGAAGGTTTAGGTCACTCTTTCTGCTATGTTCGACCTGACCCGACTCTAATCACTTCCTCAAAAGTCCATTCAGAGGAAGAGACGAAAACTTTCCATACAATTTCCGGCGCTTCCGTTAGCGCCAACACAGCGACTCCACTCTCGACTTCTCTCTACGATCCATACGGTCACATCGACCGAGCCGCTACATTCGAGAGCACGACTTCGTTTTGTTCAATTCCTTTGCAACCGATCCCTAAAAGCTCCGGTGGTGGTCCGATCGTCTCTGGTTCTGGTCCAATCGAAAGAGGCTTCCTTTCTGGTCCGATCGAGAGGGGATTCATGTCGGGTCCTCTTGATCGGGTCGGGTTATTCTCGGGTCCGCTTGATAAGTCAAGCTCCGATCATCATCAGTTTCAACGTAGCTTCTCTCATGGTTTAGCTTTACGGGTCGGGTCAAGAAAAAGGTCTTTGGTTCGGATCTTACGTAGAGCGATCTCGAAGACGGTTTCACGAGGTCAAAACTCGATCGTTGCTCCGATCAAATCAGTCAAAGAATCCGATTGGGGAATCAGATCGGAGAAAAGCCGGAATCTGCAGAATCAGCACAACGAGAATCTCACTGTTAATAGCTTGAATTTTAGCAGCGAAGGAAGTTTATTAGAAGACGACGTTTCTCTCGAAAGCCAGAATCTTCAATGGGCTCAGGGGAAAGCCGGTGAGGATCGAGTACACCTGGTTGTATCGGAGGAGCACGGTTGGGTTTTCGTCGGAATATACGACGGATTCAACGGTCCAGATGCGCCGGATTATCTTCTCTCCCATTTATATTCTGTGCTTCATCGAGAGCTTAAAGGTTTGTTATGGGATGATCCAAATCTCGAATCAACCGATCTAGAGAGGTCTAATGGCGACGAATCTTGTTCAAATCGGGAAAGTGATAATAATAACCGATGGTGGAGATGTGAGTGGGATCGAGAAAATCAAGATCTTGATCGTCGATTGAAGGAACAGATCAATCGGAGAAACGGGTCTGATCGGTTATCGACGACGGCGACGAACCATTCCGATGTTTTACAGGCTTTGTCACGAGCACTGAGGAAGACGGAAGAAGCATACCTAGATACTGCAGATAAGATGCTTGACGAAAATCCTGAACTAGCTTTAATGGGTTCTTGTGTTCTTGTCATGTTGATGAAAGGTGAAGATATTTATGTGATGAATGTTGGCGATAGTAGAGCTGTGCTTGGTCAGAAATCCGAACCGGATTACTGGTTAACGAAGATTAGACAGGACTTGGAACGGATCAACGAAGAAACAATGATGAACGAAGGTTGTGATGGAGATCAATCCTCTTTAGTCCCGGATTTATCGGCTTTTCAGCTCACTGTTGATCACAGCACAAATGTTGAAGAGGTAATAGCAAACAAAACAATGACATTCGTTTCACAATGTATTTGAATCTTTGGGGTGATATTTACTGTTGTATTCTTATGGTTCTTAGGAAGTTGAGAGAATCAGAAACGAGCATCCGGATGATTCTACCGCAGTGACGAATGAACGGGTTAAAGGTTCCTTGAAGGTCACAAGAGCATTTGGTGCCGGTTTCCTCAAGCAGGTATGAATATTCATCGAGTTTAGGTGACGAGATTAGGTGGTATGCGCGGTCTCAATCTAATGACTTTGGTTTATGGTTTTTTTTTGCAGCCTAAATGGAACAATGCGCTTCTTGAGATGTTCCAGATCGACTACATAGGGAAATCTCCGTATATCAACTGCTTACCGTCTCTATACCATCATAGATTAGGGTCGAAAGACCGGTTTCTAATATTATCATCGGATGGTCTCTACCAATACTTCACAAACGAAGAAGCGGTTTCAGAGGTTGAGCTGTTCATCACATTACAGCCTGAAGGAGATCCAGCTCAACATCTTGTACAAGAGCTTTTGTTTAGAGCTGCTAAGAAAGCTGGTATGGTGAAGATTCATTCTTACATTGTGTTTGTATTTGAAAATCGATTTTAGTATATAGTTTTGTCTAAATTGATGTTGTTTGTTCTTATTGTAGGTATGGATTTCCATGAATTGCTAGAGATACCACAAGGTGAACGAAGACGGTACCACGATGATGTTTCAATAGTAGTGATCTCTTTAGAAGGAAGAATGTGGAAATCTTGTGTATAAAAAACATATAAAAATCTCTATGAACATACACAAACAAATTGGTGTGTTATGAATCATGTATAATGTT